TCCATTGTAGTTCCTTTTCTTGGTTGAACCAAATATACATAAAGGATACGATGGAGACTATAGGTGTTGTAGAGTTTAGGATGTAGGGCTTCGCAGGTTTACTGGGTCTGAGGTTGGGTTTGCATCCCGCCCAGACTGTAAGTTTCTGGGTTCAGTTTCGGTTCTTGGGTTCGTCGCTTGAAGTTTTGGGTCTGGCATCTTGATTTCAGGGTCCCAGACATGCTATCGGTCAAAAACCGTAATATAGGGGCCTTAGTAATTTCAATAGGGTTTCGGTTTTGGGGTATATCCCTACATTAGCCGTCATGGTCCTGGGGTATCATGGGCCTGCCAAGGCGCAAGGTTGCGAGGTTTCAATGAAGTTTAACGACATGCTCGGGTTTAGGGTTTAGGGTTTAGGGTTTGGTAGGGTTTAGGGTTTAGGGTTTGGGACTTCAGGTTTTAGGGTCCAGGGTTTAATGATCTGAAGTATTCAAGGTGCAGCAACCAAGGAAATTATGCAGAACTGACGCGAAAGCAGCACCTTTCTGCAGCTCCACCCTAAACCCTGAACCCTAAACCCTAAACCCTAAACCCTAAACCCTAAACCCGAAAGCCCCAAACCCTGAACCCTAAACCCTAAAGCCCCAAACCCTGAGCCCTAAACCCTAAAGCCCCAAACCCTGAAATCCAAACCTTAAAGCTCTAAAGCCCCAAACCTTTTAACCCCTGAACCAAGAAGCCTCTCGAAAGCCTGAAGGTTTCAGGGTTTAGGGTTTTAGGGGTTAGGGTTTAGGGTTTTAGGGTTGAGGGTTTAGGGTTTTAGGGTTTAGGGTTTAGGCTGAACCCGAAACAGCCCGATTTTGAAGACGGTACGTCGCAGCTGGGAGCCGGTTGTTGCACGGCAAAGCCACAACTTCCAACCGGGTTGTAAGGGTTTAGGGTCTAACATCGGGGATTAAGCAATGACTAGACCAGGTTTTTGGGGGTATACCCTAAACCCTAAACCCTCAAACCCTAAACCCTAAACTCTAAACCCTTAAACCCTTCTGTAGGGCCTTATGATACAGAGATACCCCTAGATTACTGCTTTGGGTCTTGAGGCGTCCAGGGCTTTCAGGTTTCAGTTCACTATGGAAGTTTTAGGGTTCATAAAAGTTATAGGACCCCTAAACCCTAAACCCGAAACCCTAAACCCTAAACCCTAAACCCTTATAGGATTCATAGAAGTGATAGGATTCAGGGCTGGGGCTTCAGGGGCGAATTTCGGTTTTCGTTGGCGTTTAGGGTTTGGGCACACCACAACTGAGGGACAGAACAATCAAAACTACACCCCTGGCAGAAGCCACCAAAAAACCCTAAACCCTAAACCCTGGACCCAAAACCCTAAACCCTAAACCCTAACAAGCCATCGTCCCTTTAAGCCGACAACACCGAATCGCAGAAATTGAGAGCCGTCCGAATCAACGAAAAAATCGAGGCTGGCCGCGCATCCTTGCCGCTGCGGCCACTGACTCAGCCACGTAGGGCTATCTGTGTTGTTCTCTCAGCTCGGGTTTTTCATCAAGGGTTTCGGGTTTAGGAATCCTGGGCAAAAGACCAAGCCTCAGCCCATAAAGCGCAACGACTCTATCGGCAACATGCGCTCGACACATTACGATCCTTATGTTAATGACTCCTACTGGATACGGTATCTCTAGTCTAGTTGCAAGGCATCCCCAACTTCTGACGCCGAAACACTAGCTAGGTTGGTTTTTGGGACATGTTTTGTTTTCACTATTTGAGTTTATAAGGGGACCCTTTATATAAATATTTTTCAGAGGGTTTAAAGGCCAACCCAGCTAGTCTCCCAAACTCGTCAACTACCTGGGTTAGCAAGACCCTCAAGCCTGAGCCCCAGAAGCCTCCACTCCGGAACTCGGTGCAGTCAAGTCCACTTGAGGGCGCATGGAGAACCATAAGAAATGCCTCAAGTCATAAACCCTAAACCCTAAATCCTAAACCCTAAACCCTAAACCCTAAACCTAAACTTTAAACCGTATCATCATGTGACTCGCAAGCGCCCCGCTCCTCCTTCCCTAGCCTACCTACAACCTTCAGGTACACTCGTCTCTCCTTTACGGTCCTACCTATAGTCTCCATTGTAGTTCCTTTCTGGGGATACGTACCATATAAAATCCTTAATATATATATATATATATATATCTGGTTAAACCAAAAAAAGAAACTACAATGGGGACTATAGGTAATCTCCTGTCTGAACCGCACAATCCGAACCTATACTTCTATCGATTCGGGTAGTTTAGGGCTACGTTTAGGGCTTGGGTTTCAGGGTTTCAGGTTTGGGGTTCAGGGCTTCCGACATGAGGCTTAATTTTAAGGTTTAGGGTTGAAGTTTACAAGGGTAAGGTCCGAAGTCCTGAACCCCACGGCAAAGGCGCACAGCAGTGGTCCCCGCGGATGGCACCCGGGCAGAGGCTCTACAGCACGCTGCCCAGGCCAGTTATCTTCGTCCTCTCAAGGTTATCACTGTCTTCTCAGTCTTCTGCTTAATCCTCTCTACCCCGCTTCTTGTATGAACTGTGCGTTGTCCTACTACTCCACATCTTATTGTTCATTACTTGTGCAGCTTCTTATTCTTGCTGTCTTGTCTGGCTCCGAGGGCAGCTTCGCTGGGGCCCTGGCTGGTGGGTGGGTTGGGAATCGTGCGTGAGGTGCCGAGTCTCGAAGCTTCTTTGCAAGGTTTGCATCGCCACTCGCGATAACCCCCATGGTCCCCATAAGGGGATTTCCGAAAATAGGGACCCTAATATAGTACCCTAAATAATAGGATCCCTATTATAAGGACCCCAAAATAAGGTACCCCAATTTTCTGAAGCTCCCATAATTCTACTGCCAAAAATACCGTTAACAGCCCATTGTAAGTATGAAGGCCCATATTTAGGTCGTGTTTATTTTTTCCGTTGGGCGCTTGTGGATGTCGGACCTGGTGTGTTGCAGCTACATTCCTACAAAAGGGGATACAGCACATTAATATAGGGGCCTTCATAATTGCCTATACTATTTTTGGAGTTCCTTATTATAACCATAGTATAACATATACGCAAAAATCCTAGTCCTATTCTAATTATTCAGGCCCCTATAAAACCTAAACCCTAAACCCTAAACCCTATTCTAATTATTTAGGCTCCCACATTATGTACTTTCTCTCATGGTCGCTGGAATGATGTTCCCTACTTGGGAGGATCTTGGGCCTGATAAGGGCTAGAAGTACCTTGGGTAGGGTTATAAGTAAAACTGTACACGGTTTAGGGTTTCGGGTTTTAGGGTTTAGAGGTTCAGGGGAAAGAGGGTTTAGGGTTTAGGGGTTTAGAGTTTAGGGTTTAGGGTTTAGCGGTTTAGGGTCTAGGGTTAGAAGTACCTCAACTAGGATGACAAGTAATTGTAGTGTAGGAGCCTTAATAATTAGACTAGGGTTTTGGGGGTTCCTTATTATGGTTATAGTATAATGGGGCCCAAAACCCTATTCTAACTATTAAGGCCCCTACATTATACGTATAGTTACCTTTCTTTATAACCTTAGTTGCTAAGTCCCATGATCCCTTAAATACCAGGAACCCCGGTCAATGACCGCACACTTGACGCCCTATGAGGGTCTTGGCTTCGCTGAGGGGTTTGGCCTTGCCTGCCTAGCCATTACGTTCAACGCGATCAACCCTAAACCCTAAACCCTAAACACATAAGAGCCCTGCTTGATCCCTTACGGAAACCTGGGTCCGCCATCCTTGGCCCAAAGCCCCTAAACCCTCCATCCTTGGCCCTAAACCCTAAACCTGAAATCCTTGGCCCAAAAGACCTGAACCCTAAACCCGAAATCCTTGGCCCAAAGCCCCGTCCTCCCCACCCGCGGACAGCTGCCCTCGGGAGGTCTTAGAGTCGTCCTTCCCAGATGTTGAGGAACTGGAGGAGCTCTACTCGGAGGGTGAAGGGGGGGGGACTTCCGGTTTGGGGGTTCAGGGGTTTAGGGGTTTAGGGGTCTAGGGGCACTTAGGGTTTAGGGGTTTAGGGTTTAGGGTTTAGT